AGAGCGGGCCAGGGGAAGAGCGCAGCACACCAAGGGGGCCAAGGGGGAAGGGTTTCTTACTCTTAGGCAAATCAGCCCTGCGAAGCTGCATTACGAACGGCACAAAAGATCAGTGAATAATGGACGAGTCCGCGCCGCCGCCGTGCTCATACGGCGGGGGAACGGCAAGATGATAATTTCATTTCATTTCATTAACTTACTGAAGCGACGTTGAAACTATACTTGGACGCCGGAGCGAGAGAGATACGGCGTGGCGGCGGGATACGGGAAAAACGTCCAACAAAAAGGGGAACAGACAAGGCGGGACGACGGTGGGCGCACGAAATAAAACACAAATTAAACAGCGGACGGAAAAGGGGGCGCGGCTACGTATATACTTATACTCGTTGCCTAATGTAAAAGGAGGGGAGGGAGGGGGAGAGAAAGTGAAAGAGAGAAAGAGACAAGAAGAGAGAGGAGGGGAGGAAAGAGAAACACAGAGGGGAAGAGAGGCAGGACGACGACAGAAAAGAAGATTAAGAACGGCAAATATATATATGTACATATATATATATATATATGTGTACATATATATATATATGTATATATATAAGCACACACGCAAAATGGATATCAAGAGACTGCGGAAAAGTGTGCGCGCGTGTACACACCTAGAACGCATCAATCTCGGATTATCTCGGAATCCGGACGAGATACGGGAAAAGAGCAGAGGGCCGAGTTATATGTCGCGCGCGCGTGCGTGCGTGTGTGTATGTATGTATGTGTGTGCGTGTGTTTGACAGAGAATGACAGTCTAATATGATCCCCGTAAAAATGCCGAGCAGTCGATCCTCGATAATCTATGCGTTTCGGAAGCTAAATAGAAAGTATATCTCCGCGCTGTTCTTGAGGGAAGCAAGAATAAACAATTGCATACCGGGTGTGTTCGCGCGACTCACAACAGTCTGACACGATCCTCACTAAAATCTCGAATGTTCGCTCCTCGATCATTTGTGCCCTCCTCTTTCCCCCGTCTCTCTCTATCTATCTGTTTACTTATCCATCTCTCTCTCTCTCTCTCTCTCTCTCTCTCCCGCTGCCTATACACGACGACGAGGCTAAGAATAAACAATACGAAGTCGAACAGCGGGTCACGATATTTATATCGAGAGCATGACATGATTTTGTGAAAACGTAAAATATTCAAGCTACCAAATGGTCGAGGCCAACAATATCGAGCGGAGCCAAACAAATCGGACGGCGTTGCAGTCATTTCACTCATCCGTATGTTCGTTCGTACGTTCGTACGTTCGTTCGTTCGTTCGTTCGTTCGTTCGTTCGTTCGTTCGTTCACTCGTGTTCGTTGAATACCGCGCGTCGTTGTTGGATTTTAACGCGCTCCGCCCGGCGCGTAGGAGGCGGTGAGTCTTAGAAAGATGCGACTAATTAGATGATGGCGATGCCGAGCGCGGCGAAACAGCTAGGCAGTCTCCCTAGGCAGGCGGCGAATAATAAAGGCAAAAACATCGTATTAGCGACGCGAACGTGGTTACGTAACATCGTAAATATCATGCATCAAAAGGACTCAGTCACCCTCAGAGGGAATGCACGATGCGAATCATAGACGCGCGCGTGCTCGGGTATGCGCCGCGTAAACCTCACGTACAACAAACTCCAATCTGAAGCTTTACCTCTCGCGCATAAACCCCTCCCCGCCCCTCGACCCTGCTCACTCTCTCTCTCTCTCTCTCTCGCTCTCGCTCTCGCTCTCGCTCGCTCGCTCTTGCTCTCTCCATTAATTTATATTCTATACCGTTACTAATTATAAGCGCCAACTCGACGGCGCGGCGGGCGCTCGAGCATTCGCGATTATAATGCAATTTGCGAAATCGCCGAATCTAATCGATCGGAAATTGAGAAAATCTCGCGATGCCCGCGCGCGCCAAATCGATAAAAGCCTTTAATCCGGTCGCGCGCAAACGATATTCGCCCGTGCCTGTGCAATTTCAGTTTCAACGTGCGCGACCAATTAATCTGTTAACAGCCGACGATATCCCCCCGGATAAGATTTTTCCGTGGGACCGCGCTCGCGGTGCGCGTCTGGATCGCGCGACCGTAAAATTCGCCCGCGTCCGTACCGCGGGCGAAATTAAAAATGACGACCGTCTCTCTCTCTCTCTCTCTCTCTCTCTCTCTCTCGATGGCGCGCTGTTCACGAGTATCGGCGAAAAATACGGGAATTACACGTTCACGACGTCCGACGTGTCTCGTTGCGCGAACCAGCATCATCGACACGCGCGCATCTTCTCCGTCATCGAGAGATTGTCACGCGAGATATATTGACACACCGAGCGTCGCGACAGTCAGGTTACCAGCGAGATAAACCAGCGGGATAAAAAAAACGTCGTCTGCCTCTCTCGCGGGATTTAGCGCGAACAAAACGAGGAGTCGCGCTATCCGATAACACCGAGCCGACAAGCGCCGCGATCAAATCGGCGCAAGTGATAATAATTACAAAAGTGCGTGCTCGCAACGATCTCTAATATACTCCGCGTGTCGCGTATCGCGCCGACACACCGCAGTAATCGCGAGGTAATAAAAATCATCGCGAATTACACGCCCCGAATATTCGGGCATTTCTATGGAGCGGCCGAAAATGCTCGATAATATCGTTCTTCAATCAAGCCGGCCGGGCCTTTTGCGCGATCGCGAAAGTTCGCCCAGAGCGGAGAGGATTGCTTCAACCGTACCTTCAACGTTACGTACGCTAACTTGTCGGGCCTGCGGTGGGTGGCCGGCATTCTGGACGTTATCGTGCTTCATTCAAGTTACGCCGAAAAAGCGTCACCGATTGTCGATCGAGCGAGTCGGGCTCGTACGGCTGGGCATATTTAACGTCGTCTTTGGTGACTCGCGATCGTCGACTGAATTTTACGTACGGTCAATGGGAATCGACGATCCGCTATCGATGTGATTAACAACGGACGAGAGAATACGGACCGCGCCGCTTAAGTCTCCTCCGCGGCCTGCTCGATAAATATCGACAAACGGAAAAGCCAGCCAGCTGCCGCGCGATTAATAACCACGCTCGCCACCTTCGCTCCCGCGAAGCGTAAACTCTTTCCCCCCCCAGCCGCGGCCGTTTAACAACGCGTGGAAATTCCACATTAATACTTAACTACTAATAGAAAACACACGCAGCGCGTGGGCGCGGAGGACGGGAATTCCCGGGCCCGAAGTATTAATGAATCAACCGCGTTTTAAGAGCTACGCGCACGCGTACATGCGCGTAAGTAAACAGGGTGTAGAAATTAACTCAAACATAAAATTTAATAGCATACTCTAACTGCTGCTTAAATTGCACGAGCACACACACGCACGCAGAGCGGAGCGAAGCGATCGTATAAATTTATTTGCGACGGAAACGAAAATGAAACTCGACGAGCGCGCAAGCCGACTAATGAATTTTGCAAGACGGTAAACATTTCTTGCAGCAAGTTTTAGCAACACGGCTCGTGCTCGCGCTCTCTCTCTCTCTCTCTCTCTCTCTCTCTCTCTCTCTCTCTCTCTCTCTCTCTCTCTCTCTCTCTCTCTCATTACGCTCATATCGCTCCCCCGCGGACACACAAACGCCCGGCAGTATCATCGACGCGAGCGCCTATTAGTTTTTTACGCAGACTCGCGCGCGCCATTATTTTGGCGTCGGGACACGTGACATATGTCACTCATATGTTTTCAGCAGTTGCTTATCCCACGAATGGATAAAAGATTCGGGTAAAAAATCGCCCGGTGTGATTTATTATCTCCTTTCCTTCCTTCCTTCCTTCCTTCCTTCCTTCCATTTTGATATATCATCATGTTGATGTTCATGGCGATCCCGCGGCGGAGAAATTTAAAATTCGTTTACATCGAACCGGACGGCAAGGTAGAGGAGGAAATGGAGAGAACGAGGGGAGAGAAAAGGGAATGAAAGTAAACGGCGCTCGCGCGCGCGATAAAATTTCAGTAAAACATTTAACATATTTTTCTATAGCGATCCTCTCTCTCTCTCTCTCTCTCTCTCTCTCTCTCTCTCTTTCGAGCGCGCGCGCGCGCGCGCGCGCGCATTGTGACGACGTTATCCTGTGAGAAATGATACATGAGAAATGAAATAAGAATTCTCCGTTAGCCTCCCCGAGGAAATCATAAGTTTTACGACTGCTCAAGCAAGCGTTAAAAATATCTACAGTACGATCAAAGTTGAGACTTTACGACTGTCGCGCGGCACTTTCTGTTGATTAAAAGACGCAATCAATCGTGACCACCACGTAACATAAAGTCACTGCTTTATTTAACGCTCGGCCCGGCATTAGACAACGGGGAGATTACCGAACTTTCCGCCGGATTCACCGCGGTTTTAATCGGCTCGGAGTCATTCCCGAATAAATTTGCGACCGGACCGTCCCTACGAAATATGCGCAGTCGGGGGTTGAAATTTTGCTCCCGCGATAACCTCGCCCTCGCCAAATTCCTTCCAACTTGAAGGATCAATGACGGGCCTCGAGGCGTAACGCTATACAGAGGACTGTTCCTATTTTGATTCTGCATATATGCACGCGCGATGAACAAATATCGAATAATCGATACGGCGAAAAATGAGTTTTTAGCGAACAAAAGAACGAACTTTTATTCTCGTCGTCTCTTTGCCTGCGATTCCGTTTATGCGTTTTTTTTTTTTTTTTTTTATTAACACGATTGCTTATTAGAGCTTTTTATAAAATTATAAAGGAGAAAAATTTTATCACTAATATTTTTATTATTTTGTAATTTTACCATCAATATGATTACTCGTTGAAGTTTTATAAAATTGTGAAAGAGGGAGAAATGAAAAGAGAAAGGACGAAATTATTTATCAAAGAATAACGGTCTATGAAGTAGACTCTAAATTCCCACTCGAATCTCCCTCTTTATTCTCAGTGACGGTTGCTCGATCGTCCGTCAAGAGATCGGCAAGATGCCGTGCAATAAATAATTTGACATACCTAGAAATTTACGATGTCTCACCGCGTCCTGCATCCTGCGTCCCGTATTCTCTGTCTGCTCCGCCTTTCCGATTCAACCTCTTGGACGTTCATTGACACTGACACTGACATCAACACGATAGATGCGATTCAATCGGAGAATGATGACGCGCGTATGATGACGAGCGGCGGCGCCCGGTCAAATGTCTCGAGGTGTATTCGGCGAAATACCAAAAAATGCCCGGGACGAAGGTCGTAAACAACGCGCCGATTCTCCGCGTACGTCGCCACGTCCGCTTCGCTCGCCGGCTCGAGTCGTCATAACTCGACCACGTGCGAGCGCGCTAGAGTATATACTAGAATGATAGAACATTCTCGAAAGAGGTTCCCCCTCTCGCAATAGCGAAGCACCAATCAACGGCGGCTATATTCGGTGACCGTGAAGTGATTTTAAATCAACGCTCTGAAAATATATTCGAGACCTTCGGTGTGACGGTTGCATGATGAAATAATCAGGACGGCTCGAAACGTGCTGCGTATCGACAATGTCGCTCGCGTAGTGCTCGCGCGGGATGATCGTCGTTGGTTAACTTGCGATCATTAATTAACACTGCGCTCCGACTGATTTGTACTTTTTCCTGTCGGACTTCGCTGAGCGCGCGGCGACCACGGGGACGACCAGGGGCTGACTCCAGGGCGGAATACAGGACGCAGGATGCAGTCCTTTTTGATCAACCTACCCTGGTACATTTAAATATCTAGCGAAATGTTGAACATCGGTGGGAAATAACGGGAAGAGGAAATCTGGTTTTCCTAGAGAGAGCTCCCCGCTTGTGTCTATTAATTGTTATCGGATATTTTGTATTCGCACGTCGCACGTCGCGTGATCTGGGCCTGGATTTTGTGCGAGTTATCTAATAATTAATAACGAACAAGCTGTAAACGCTTAGATGTTGAATTGTTAAATTTTCCAATTCACCGGGGCACAAAAGCCGGGACGTACACACAATGTCGCAGTGCTCGAAATTCCGCGCTGATACTTCAGGTTTGATGGGATCTGCAGAGTTAATGCGGAACTAAAAACTCGACTCGGGATTCGCCGCTTCAATTTTCACATCGCCAATTCCCCGATGCATTTGGAGGCCGATAATTTACTTGACCGGGATTTTCGGGATCCGAATTCAGTTGCAAAGATACGTGAAATATTGAGAACCGGAAAATCGTGTCGCGCGTATATACGTTATTTCAGAGTCACGAGCCGCGCCGCTGCGGAACACTCCGCGCGGGGTAACGCGCGCGCGAAAAATTCGCCGATATCGCGATTAAACGTAATTCTCGTTCGGAGCGCGGGATAATACGCGCAACAATATCCAGACGCGCGGCGAGATCGCGCGTTCTTTAATGCGACATAAATTTGGCCAGGCGCGCGTTCAATTGATACGAATTAAAGTTCGAATGGGTTATATTCTGCGAGGAAGCAGGTAATACAACGTGAAATTTACAATTACCTTTGCCGCCGCAGTCCGTCGATTTTAAGCACGGCGGGTGGGGCGGGCTGAGTTATGCATTCAATTTTGCGAAAAGTGTACCGAGCTAATATCCGGGAAATGGGGATTTTCTATTGGGATTTTCGTGTCTCATAGAAGAAATATAAAGAGCCGCGTGTGTATGAACGTACTTGCGCGCGCGCGTGTGCCTGCGTATTTCCATCGTATTGCCAAACGTATTGGTTAAAGCGATTATAACGATTTATACGTCAAAAAATGACGCGTCTGACCCGATTGCGCTGCGAACAATGCGAATCGTTGGCCGCCGGTGGCATCGAAAGGGCAATCGTTTTATATGTGTATGTATATATGTTTTTTTTCTTTTTTTTTCGAAAATTCCATAACATTTAGAGGATCGATACGACGTTATTAAAAGTTGGAACTGCACGTCCGGTCGCGCGCGCGAAAGGATGCTTCAAAGGTCGATGCGCTTCAGCGCTGTGTGAAATTTATCAAGTAATACCTCCCATCCATTTGTAAATCGTCATTGTTTAAACATTCTCAGCCGCGTCGCGAAAAATCCGACCTATCAATCTTTGCGATGCCGAGGCCGGCGCGGGCGCACCAATTTGTTCTTGTTGATTTCGAAATCGTGGCCGGCTAAATCAAGCGTTCGCGATTAAACGGCAGAGTAATGCAAGAGTAATGAAGAAATTGGAAAAATTCAAACGACCTCGACGGCGCATCCATTTCGCCGCTGCAAAAGCAGCTGAAATCGTAATCGTCATTGTTACTAGCCAAGCTAATTATCTCGTAAATATCACGGCCGGCCGAAAATCACTGGCCGGGGATTGTGTATCCGGGACGTTTTCAATTTCGGCGCATTCGAACCAATACTGAGAACAGACCGAACGTCCAAGAGTTTCCCGAAATTTCACAATGGAATATGCAGCGCATCATGTCGGGATCAGTCAAAAGTCGCGCGTTTAACAGCCCGCCGCTGTTCCACGCGGTTCCGCTCCAATTCACTTTTCAAGCGCGCGACAACTATTCCGCCCGGGCTATTGATCCTGACGTGTCAATTTCGACTTTGTGGCTTTGTCAACCTCCGATTCTCCTTCGCGGCGAAAAGGAAAGCATGCGTGCGTAGACAGGGGGGACAAGCCGAGAGCGTTGTATACACGCGTATTATTAGGTCAATCGGACAGTTCCGTCCGTTTTTTCGTTATTTTTTTTTTTCTGCGAAACGTATGGCTTTATTTAAGGAACAAAATGAAAAATCGATCCAAATATTGTCCATCGTTAACGATGACTTTCTTCCATCTTTCGGTCAGCAAGCGAATTCCGCGGCGAAAGAATGACTCATCTTTGGAGGCTATCCAGTCAGAGGCCCGTTTTTCGACGTCTTCGTAAGAATTGAAGCATTCGTCAGCAAGTGCGTGTGCCATCGACCGAAACAAGTGGTAGTCGGAAGGGGCACAGTCTGGTGAATAAGCCGCATGGGGTAACACTTCCCAGCGAGGTGCTTCTAACGTCTCCTCGACAGATTTTGCGACGTGAGGCCGAGCGTTGTGTCATGAAGCAAAAGCACTTTGCGCTGTCTCGTCTCATATTCTAGTCGTTTTTCGTGCAACGCTCGGCTCAAACGGATCATTTGTTCTCTGTAGAGATCCCCCTGTGACTGTTCGACTTCACTTTTCGACAGTTCATGGTACAGCACACCTTTCTGATCCCACCAGATACAGAGCATTGCCTTCTTCCCGTGGATATTCCGCTTTGGCGTCGATGTTGAGGATTGGCCGGGATCGCAAATAGTTTTTCGACGTTTGGGATTGTCAAAATAAATCCCCAGTGATGATACGATGTGAAAACCCCTTTCTTTGTTGCCTAGCGAGCAGAATTTCGCAGGTGGTTTCTCGCCTTTCAATGTCTCTTGGCTTCAGTACATACGGGACCCATTTTCCTTCCTTGTAAACATTTCCTGAGGCTTCCAAACGACCGGAAATGACAGATTGAGCGCAATTCAATGCTTCTGCAAGTTGCTCTTGCTTGTGACGGACGGATCTTCGTCCGCCAATGCCTGCAATTCTTCGTCTCCGAATACTCTTGGCCGTCCAGAACGCTCTTTGTCCTCTACGTCAAAATCATCACTTTTAAAGCGTCGAAACCATTCTCTGCATGTTTTAACGGAAGGAGCATTATCGCTACAAACTTCTACAAGCATTCGATGAGCTTCAGCTGCAGTTTCCTTCCAATTGAAGCAAAAGATTAACACTTCGCGCAAAAGACGCTTATTTGGCGCAAATTTCGACATTTTCGATGCAGTAAAAAACAATGTGATTGATGCAAACGTATATATACCTTTGTGTACTGAATGTTATTGACAGATGTCAAAACAAAGCATTAAGCTTCGTTTAGACATCAGAGGTTAACGACAGGGTTCTAGCTATAGCTACTTGCCGCTAGATGGACGGAACTTTCCGATTTACCTAATAGAATATTAAGGCGAGGCGAGGCGCATTAAAGCGCGGTTACACCGCAAAGCTGTAACGCGTTTCCAAGACGCACGCGAGCGAACATGGCGGGGTTGGAGCCTTTCGGCGGCCACTTGCCGCGCGGAGTCGGCCGTGTAACGGCCGAGAGCATTTTTATGTGCTGTCGCTCTATTAACCCCTTAGGCGTTAACGACGGAAATATCCGCGGAGAGGAAAGTGGCCCGCCGAACCGTTGACGACGCAAATATCCGCGGAGAGAGAAATCCGCGGCAGCGTGATTCGTTACCTTCTGCCAGCTTTCACGCCACTTTCTCTCTCGTTCCGCGCCCGTAATTTCGCAATTTCTTGCGAGTGATTTTCTTATCTTTCTTTTCGCGCGAATATTTCCGTCCCGTTTTGACACATTGATACACGTGGAATGATCCAAATTTTTCAGCTAAATTTTCCGGGTTTCTTTCAAAAGAGAGCGAAAAGAGACTTTTCAGTCAGAGTACTCCAAAGACGTCACCCCTTCGATAACTTTGAGCCATCCTTCCAGGCAGCCGATGAATTCCATCTCGGAAGAATGCTGTGCTGGACGCAGGATAAAGTCGTCGAGCCATTTCCAGATCTCATCCACTGATTGCGTGTCGGACAGGGCGTGTTGCGTCGGCCGGTGCAAGAGATGATCGGATGGAGCAACGTCTCTGGTGAATTCGCCGAGTGCTGCAAGATTCATCCCAGCCAAGATTCGTTACGGCGTCTTTTATCTTATGCGGCGCGACGTTGTCATACCACAATTTCACAGGACATTCTCCTTCGCCGCTATCGTTGCGTTTTCGTTGCAACACTCGAGCGCACTAATCGGCGTTAGTAGCAGTCAGCAATAATTATATCTCTTGATTCTAACAGCGGTTCTTAACAAAGCACACTCTTGATATATCCCACTGAATGCAGAGCGGAACCTTTTTTCCGATGTTGACGGTTCGCCAGGATTTACCCATGACTTTCCGCGTTTCAGATTGTCACAGAGTATCCATTTCTCATCGCCCTTATCGATTTTCCGCAAGACAGGTTCTCGACGCTGCTTATTGAGGAGAGAAAGACACGCTGCCACTCGTTGTTTTCTGTTGGCTTCGGTGAGTCTTCGTGCGGAACCCATCTTCCTTCTTTTTGGTGATCCTTCCCATCTCGTGTAGGCGCTTGGAAGTGGTACGCCGCGTTACTCCCAATTGCTCGTCTTGCGTTCGTGCGGGATTCTCAGCGAGCAGTTGTTCCAAATCATCGTTGTCGCACCTTCGACGACCTCCAGGGCGTTATTTGTCGATCAGACTGAAGTCGCCGCTTTCAAACCGCTTAAGCCAAAATGCGCACACACGGTACGACACATTTTCGCCGAGGGGGAAACAAATCGCTCTCACAGCGTTCTTTCCACCGTTGGAACTCGTGAAGTATAAATACCGAAGTGCCGGATATGCACCTTATCCGCTAGCGTCTTGACTCTACTGAACTGAACTCAACTGAATACTTTTGAAAATTATGTCGGGCCTTCCGCCCATACCGAACGTCATTTTCAATAGCTAGTAGATGTTGACGCTACATAACCGCTATTTCAAAATTAATTTCCCAATTTGGATTGTTCATTTGTACGATAAAACCAAGAGAGAAAGAGTGAACGCTGTTCTCTCCTCCCCTTTATCCCCGCTATCACCAGAGCCCGTTCCCGACTGTATATCTGTTTTTTCTTGCAGCCCCGAAGGTGTTCGGAGCAGTTTGCCGAAAAAGAAGATGGCCGACTCGGTATCGGTAATCGG